TATATATATATATATATATATATATATATATATATAGTACTTTTGTAATTAATTTAAATAAAAAGTGTTACTTAAATATCTAAACAATTTATAAATTCAAATGTTTAAACTATATGATAAACAATTTATAAATCTCTATTTTATTTATGTAATTTTATTTAAAATAATTTTTAATGTAACAAAATTTGTTTAAAAAATCGTACAGTATTATTGTTATTTATTTATTTAATTTAGACTGTGTCCAACCCGGTTTAATTTAAAAATAATGGATAAATCATGATTATATTTTATTTATTTATTTAATTTATAATACAATCAAAATATTATTTTCCTGTGCATCGCACGGGCCACGCACTAGTCTCAATTATTTCACTAATTCATCTATAGTCAATAATATGTTCCAATCATCATAATAATCTTATTTGAAAAAGGATGACAATGACACAATACGAATCAATTATTGTTTCTAAAAATAATTGTTATCCTTAATTATATTCCATGATACTACAATTGGTTAAGTACTTGAGTTTTTCGAATTTGATGGTGAACTTATACAATTATATCATCAACTGTATTATGATATTTTCTTAAAATAATTTGTCCCATGTTACCTAGTTATGGGCTTCTGTGATCATGGTAGGTAGTCTGTTACGTTCCTAAGTGGGATCATTATTTAATTCCTGAATTTGTCCCATGCTATAGTTTCAAGAAAAATAAAATTTAAGGGGGTGTATTTTATTAGGATTTGTGAAGATTTTTTAAGACTTTAGAATTAGAGTATGATAAACCTAAACTTCTAAAAGTTAATGGACAAAATACAATTGCATAAAAATGTGTAATTTTTTATAATTAAAACAAAGTTTTATTAGTGTACTCATTTCATTTACAAATAAGTATCGTTGTAGAAAAAAACAAGAGAGAAAAAAAAAATTAAGGATCCATATTTCGCCTAATATTATCATCCACCAAATCTTCTTAAATCATAAATTACTATATTACTCACTGAGTACTTTTTTATGTCTTAATTATGTTTAATATTTCTTCTACATGGGTTATTTTATTTTATTTCATAATATATAAATGGAAAAAGGATTTTAAACGATAAAATTATAAAACAACACTTAACTAGTACAATGCTCGTGTAAATACACGGGTGTTAAATTAGGAAGCATATGTAAATATTATTTTTTTAAACTAAAGTAATTTAATT